AAAAAAAAGAAACTATTTATTTTTCGTATAATTTTACTTTAACTCACTCATTAAGAACTTCAACAAAATTATGTATTGCTTCAAGATAAGCTAAATTATTATCATTAACATCAACACATATACAAAAATATAAACCGGCATAACGACGATAGACAATTTTAAAATTCCGAAACTAATGTATATATTCAAATAAATCTAATAGAAAAAAAAAAGAATCAATCATCTTACTTCGACAAAACTAAATAAAAATACAAAAACAAAAATTAATTTTCATATGAACTAAAAATTGTAATTTACTTTGTGTGTTTAGCATCTCGTACTGTAACTAAAGCATGAACTTCTTCGATTAATTTTTGTTTTTCATCATCATGAAAGTTCATAAACCTATGATAAAAAAAGAAAGAATTCTTTTTATTCTTTTTCAAGAAATATATTTATTTTTATAAACATACCATTTAGCTAAGCGAGTTTTACCAGCTCGATTTTGAATAAGAATAAAGCGAATCATTATTTTATAAAATAAAAATCTTTATTTAAACAAACCTGCGAAAGTAATCAATTGATTTCTATTAATTCTTCGTGTATTTTCGAAATGGGTTGTTATTCAACCAATATGGAAACATTTGATTAGAGGTCACCATTATGCTATTGTTCTTATACCACTACATATAAATTCTTTCTTTAGTTTTATCACAAAAGCAAATATCTATATATTATTGGTATCAAACGATAAATATTTACTAAAAAACCCTATGTATAATGCTTAACTAACTGAATTGAAAGAATACATGAAGTCCTTTTTTTTTTCTTCCCCATATTAGAATAATCAGACACGAATGATAACGGGTGTACCAGATTGAATGGCCGCGTTTTGCATTTCAATTTTCATTCACTTAATATATTGTATTAAAAAAACAAAATATACTACAGGATACAGCGTGAAAAGCTCTACAATTTACACAGTAAAGTTTACCGTAATTGTTTTCAAAAAAAGCAAAATTCTATCCGACCAATTTTCGCACGATCGAAATTTGATCGCCTAAAATTTTACCAATTTTGAAAATAAAAAGTACAAATATAAAATAAGCGATTGTATGTAAATTGTAGAGCTTTTCACGCTGCATCTTGTGGTATATTTTGTTTTTTTTAATATAATATATTAAGTGAATGAAAATTGAAATGCAAAACGTGACCATTTAATCTGGTGCACTCGTTACTTCATAGTTAAAATTTGGTCATCATCAATGTATTTTATTTCACTTTAACACATCGTTAGTAAATATGGGCAAGATAGTCTTGATCCCAATATCACTAGAACCGATATCATCAATTGTCTTCTGGTCGAAACTGAAACCAAAAACGACTAGCCCCACTCATGTCTAATGACTAGATAATAGCGAACCCTTCTTTCTTATCTACTTAAACTCAACACATCTGATTCATATTCTTGTCTTGCAAAGTTGTAATTTTAATTCTTGAGATGAAAAAGATTATAAATATGATTTTTGTTCGATATACAAGAAAATTTTCTCGTAAATGATTTGTGAAAAATTTTTGCATAAAAGTAGACAAAATACTATATGTACATAAGAACATAAAATAGGACTTGAACATTATATGTTCATTAAGAAAGTATCATTTGTTGTTAAGTAAAAGGAAGTATGAAGAAGCAAAATATAAATTACAATTAGGAGGAAAACTTTATCATATTTTTTTTTTTGATATTGACTAGCTATGGATATGTAAATGCTTCTTTGAGAATAAAAACGTTGAAATTATTAAGTTCAAAGAGAATCTATCATAAAATTAACAGATGTTTTTATGGAAATTAGTGAACAGTGTAGCAAACACCAAGAAACCAATGTGGACATTTTTCGAACTTGAGATCTATTCGATTTTTATTAAACTTTCTTAGTACTTCGCCATATTGATATGAAAAAGACTTGACATCATTTCAAGTGAATTTTTTCTGTTACAATAGTTTTTACTTATTCTATGATTTGATCATAATTTTGAACAAGATCCTCATTGTTCGCAAAGAAAATCTGAATAAGTATAAATGCCATTCTAATATATTACTAAAGAGAACTATGAAAATCTATACGTTTCACATATTGCAGATGATAACTGTGAATTGAATTAATTAAAATGCTATTTGAAACTAAAAGTTTTATCAAAAAAAAAAACTTATCCACACATAATCAGCAAAAACAGTAACATGAATATGACTGAATTGGCAATCCAAGTATATTGTAGTTTTATCTTCTCTATAGATGGATATTCTTTGACATTCAAGTCATTTGCTTGACCAATTTTTTTCTGTCGCGGAGCAATATATGACAATTCAATAAATTTACACCTAGTAGATCTACGATCCTGACGATGATGTCACTTGCATACATTCATTTTTTCGTAACATACAAACGAACTAAATACACTGCTAACATATTATTTACAGAAGATTAAACAGCAAAAGATTGCCGATTGAGCATAATACTATTATCCGTTTCAAAATAGAATAGGGATGCGTATTTTTTGAATAGCTTTTGATAGGAACAAGGTTGAAAGCTGCGGTTTTCATCTTTGGAAAGAGCAGAGAAAAACGCACCGAATCATATAAGACAACGTCTTTTGGCCTGGACTTTCAAACTTGTTGATTAGTTTTATAAAAAAATGCCACGAAAAACTGTATTTTTCCTTTATAAAAAAACTAAAAAGCAGAGTTTATTTTTACAGAAATTGTTGGCAATATCGGCTCGAATTGTCGAATTGAATACCTATAATATCCGAAGCATTAAAGCTTTATATCATAACTTTATATAGTTTTGTAGATCTTCAATTGGAGGTTTTAATACACACTCGTAAAAGTTCAAAATTCATTTTTATGATCCAACCCAATGTGTTGGTCTTTAAAAAGTAACCTGAAAAACCCATATAAAGCTTGTCGAAAATAATATGTATGACACGATCCGATGCGTTTTGATCTTCTCTTTCCAATGTTGAAAACTCAGACTCTCTATCTACTTGCATTCTTGACTTATTCAAAAACTACTCACACCTCCTTCTATGGTGAAATGGACAATAGATGAAGTACATTATTTTGAACTATTTAAATTTCAAATTGATACTTGTATAATTATTTTATTATTAATAAAAAAAGCATTAAATGCAACTAAATGTGTAATTGCAGCAGTAAAATATATTATTAAATATAATGCGTTCGTTATCATTCAGATTCATAGATTATTTTTG